CTGTCATACCATCATCTTCTTCACCATTGTAGGCCTCTCTAGAAGTTTGGCCTTCTTCATATTCCAGCATGCATGCTTCCTCTTTGTTATCCTCCTTTTCTTCTTCCCATTTCTCTTTATTCTTGAACTCATTGGCTAGTAAATAGTTATTAGCCACGACAGGAGGTAACGTACCAAATTGAATAGTAAGGGGCTGATCTGGATCTTCTCCATCCCCTCTGTCTCGCTCAAACTCCGACCTCCCAGAAGAAGTTTTTGACAATTCTTCCATAGGTTCGCCTGTATCAGTCTCTTCACTGTCTTTGAGAACATTCTGATTGGCCGCCTCGAGTAATCTAGGTGCCTTAGGACACAACATTCCCTGTTGTCGCCTCATCATTGGCCGTAGTTTAGTTGAAAATGCCTTTGTTGGGTTCTAGTCATTTCGTTGAAAGGTATCGCCCTTCCAGCCTCATACTGGAACGAATGCCATACATTTGGTGGGCAAAGTTGCGGTCTGAATGTCCTCCCATTATTTACTGGCCTGAACTACCTCTCAAAAGACGGTCCCTTATAGAACGATGTACCCTGCCCTCTACCAGGCTGAACGTTTGGAAAAAAACTAGAACGACGGTGATGTTGCCATATCCCTGATTTCTCTGCATTTGCACTCACTTCTTTTTTGTATCTTGCACATATGACGTCTTCGTCCTTTTTTGGTTCCTTCCCTTTGATACGTTCAAAGACATTGTGATGTTGTCCAGGGTCTTCTTCTCCATCATCTATAACCAACTTGAAGTTTGGCAATTTGTTTTTGAAACCAAATGTCACCATGTTCACTCCAAGTGGCTGTGGAAAAGGATTTTCATCCACTGCCATCTTCCTCTTATCCTCGAACGTAATTCGTCCTGATTCAATGGCATCATGTAACACATGGTGAAAAACCAAGCAGTTGTTAGTCAAATGTTTTTACCCTTAATTTGTTCAGGGCTTGGCAATTTATGCTTATCGCTCAACTTTATCTGTTTATCCTTATATAATTTATCAAATATAAGGTCAGCTTTGGTTACATCGAACGAGAACATTCTAGCCTTTATGTTTTCATCTTTTATAGGCTCATCCTTGCCCGACGGTCTAGGCTTAGCCATTATAGGACAAGTATATGTGTCTCCTTTAACTAATTCGGCCAAACACATTTCGATTTGATCATAACACTCGTCATTAATGATATGAACATCAAAATTTGGGTCTCTATAATAAGTCCCCTTGCTAGAATTTTTCATTTATTCTTCTTCTCTTATTAATCGTTCATACCTAATCATATTCGCGTTCAATTGGAAAAGATCAGGAAATTCCTTGTCTTGGAACTTCTTCTTCAGATCAAAGTTTAGACAACCTTGAGCGATTTTGACAAACTCCTTTTCGGGCAAAGGTACAAAATATTTACTTCTTGCTGTCTTGAACCTTTGAAGGAAACTTCTACCCATTCGTTTGGCATTTGACGTAGATTCATCAAATCGGCCAAAGTAACTTCAGACTCAGTCTTATAAAACTAAGCGTGGAACAATTGCTCCAATTGTTGCCATGTTTGAACAGAGTTTGCTGGAAAATTGATGAACTAGGAGAAGGCTACTCCTGTTAATGAACTAGGGAACAGCCTTATTTTATGGTAATCAATTACATCACCATTTTGCAGTGTGAATCGCCCTATGTGTTTTAGAGTAGACACCTCTCCTAAACCGGTAAACAGTGAGAATTCTGGCACTTTATACCCTCTAGGCCATGGATATGCTTGGTCTATCCAATCAGGATATGGCTTTGTGTAAGTCGGCCTAATGACAGGTCGTACTCCAAAAGCCATCTGATCCTGTATGATTTCCATAATCTGATTCCTCAACATGACGTTGGGGTCATATGGAATTCTTACAGGTTGGTTGACCGGTTGATTTGCTTGATGCCTGATGTCTGGTCCTTGATTAGCAACAAAGTTACCATAATTTGGGCCATTGTTACCATTAGCCTGAGCATTTATTCCATTATTAACACGTGTGGTATTCTGCCCATTATTTAGGACATTATCTCTTACATTTAGGTTACCTCCCAAGTTAGATGTACCAATGTCACTATTCTGATTTGGAATTACATCACCCCCTGGTTTAAAGTAGAGGGATCAAAAGGTGGTTCTACCCCTTGATTTAAACTTAGGATCGGGGAATTATGTCCCACAATTGTCCTAGTCTGAAAGTGGTTTGCAAGAGGCACAACTGGCTGAGAAATTTGGCCTACTAACTTATTCATTATTTCGTTCAAAGTATTCATTGTTTGGTCATGTTGTCATAATGCGCATTTCCATTTTGGGTAAATCTTTCATATTATGAATACTTCGTAGATTTACCTGTTCAACGACATCTTGTGTGAGTTCTCCGAGTAATACACGCATGGTTCGAGGACTCAACTCTGTCATTGGTTCGTAACGACTATGATTGCTCTGATTCTGTCCATCTGTTCGTGGAGAGCTATGCTGCTCCTCATATCACTCGATCACAGACTGGACTCCTCCCTGACTTGCTGCTTCCTTATCGAATTTTGAGGCATATTTTTTCACCTTTTGTATCTTCAACACCAAACACCAATGTCCCACCGGGCGTGCCAAATTGTTTCGCGCGGGTAGTCGCTAACAATTAAAAAGGGATCAGACGATTGTGTAAGGGACAAACCTCTTGAGACAAAGTCCCAAAAGGGGGTGTTTTATTGGCAATGACTTTACAATTGGAACTTAAACAGAAATGCCTCCAAGGGGCGCAAGCACACGAGTACTGAAAAAGAAATGTTTTAAGTCTAAACTAAGAAATTGAAATTACATATTCTCTGTTTGAGAGTGTTTGATTCGGGGTCCTTTGCTATATGTCTTTTCTTCCTTTTATATTCTCTTGATGCTCTCTTTGTGACCAACCGCTTAGAAACTGCTTAATTGCTTTATAACTGCCCACTTTCTTCATGATGGCCAACTTATCGTGGAACTGCCGTTTCTAGATGCTGCCACTACTCTTTGTCGTTCAACCGTCTTCAACTAAACTTCTTGAATCGTGAAACGTGACAAGATTACCCAATAACTGCTTCGATAACTGTACTTTTGGATAATCATAATACCTTATGTTTGCTAAGGTCCTGGGCGATTCAAAGGTTTGGGCGAGAACGGGGTTACAACTCTGGGCGACTGTAAGACACTTCATTCGCTCAGATCCTGGGCGTCTTGTAAGTTTGGGCGATGGTGTTACCGCGTTCGTGGACTTACCATTCATTAATAACCACATTTGGGCCTTTATCCTGAATTGTCCAGTTGGACTTCATTCTTTGGACTATTTGAATTGGGCTGCACTTTTAGCATGTTAACACAAGTCAAGTCCAAACTTTCCGATAGCTCTTCCATATCATCCTTTGAGCTTCAATTCTTTTCACTATGCTCAATTCACCTTCAAACCGAGATTTGTTCCTATAAAAGGAATATGTAAACCAACTTGAGTAGAATCCGCTCAAATAATTAAATATCGAGCAAGTTTAAAAGCCTAAATAAGAGTGCGAAAGACATTTAGCTTCACATTCATCTTTTGCTTCAATTGAACAGTGACATGAGGTCATGATGCTTCCCAAGTTTTAGCATTATTCAACAAAATTTGATTGAAGATAACAGAGAGTTCAAAAAATTCAAGGTGGGGCAAGCAAAGAAGGGGAACATGCCCTGTCCGAATCTATTTATTTTATTATATTTTTATACTTCTCAATTTACTAGTGGGTTGAACATACATGGCACATTAATTGGTTATTGTTAAAAATAAGCGTATGTAAATTTGAGAGATAATAATTTGTAAACATGAAAGATATTTAAAATTTATTAAGAAAAATCTAGATACTAGAAATTTATTAAGAATAATCTATTTTTAATCCCCACTCATTAGGATAGTTTCATTTTTATTTTTGTATAGAATTGCATCTTTGTCATCTTTTTTATGGTGGTCATCAAAAGGCGAGTTTTTTAAAATCATTTTTTTCCCTTTTAATAGAATAAATGTTACAAATCGTTTCAAATTATTATCTTCGATTTCAATAAAAAAAAAAATAGAGTCAATGTCACATTGAGGGTGACAGTGATTATAAGGGTGGTTTATGGTTCATGGAATCCATCTTATAAATTTGTAATCTACAGAATTAATTATTGAATTATGAGAATATTGATGTTATATGTAATGGTATTGAATATAATTTTTCTTTTTCTTTTTTTCTTTTTGGTAACATGGATAAATTTAGAGTGAGATAGATATATAAAAATGGTGTGAATGAATTTAATAATGACAATATTGGAATGTGACGTGGATGAAAATAATATTTTTTTTAAAAAAAATTAATAGGGATAGATGTAGAGTATGATAGATATATAACAATGATCGATGTAAGTACTAAATAATGGCTCCCTTAAAATATTATCACCCCAAATACGTTAAAAAAAACCCGATTAATCACTAAATTTATCTAGCTTTAGTGCAAGAAGTTTAGGTAGTGGTTGGTTTGCGTTTTCATTTTCCATATTCATTTTCAAAATGATTTTTAGTTTTCCTCGAAAACGGCCCGTTTTCCGCGTTTTGAGCGTTTTCGACATTTATAACTGAAAACGATAAAAAGTCGTTTTGTGTTTTCAGTTATAAATTTTAACTCGTTTTCGAAAATGCGTTTTCGAAAATGACAAACCAAACGCGTTTTCGAAAACGCAAAACGAAAAATGAACCGAAAACGACGGACCAACCACGGCCTTATTGTTTGGCCTATTCCAATAGGAAGCATGTATAAAAGGAATTAACAATGAAATAAAGGTGATATGATTTTGCATCTGGTCCGGGATTGACAAATAATCTTAACCTTCGACTTAAGTTAATCTAACAGTCTAGATTTATTAAAACCTTCATTGTGGTGTGTTTGGATATGGATGTAGTGGATATAAAACATTTTAATAGATTTAGACCGTTAGATTAACTGAAGTAAAGAATTATAATTCTGTCAAATTCATTGATAGGAGGAGAAACTATCCTCTTAAATATTCTATCTTCTATAGAAAAGGATCCCCACAAATATTCACTACAATAGTATATGAAAAAGGCGTAGCCCGGATACATATAAATACACAGACTTTCGTGATCTTTTTAAAGACTTACTAAACACCAACCATCTATTTCCATAAAATACGAACTTGTGATGTTCCAAGCTATCTTCTACATGTGCTCCAAATCCCTCTCTCAATCCAATATCAATTCCAGCCCTTACCTCTTGCCTTCACATATGTATAAGACTGAATTCTTTCAATTTATAAAGAAGATTACTAATCCTTAAATTTTCAAGAAATTCTTCATAAGTGGATTTTATCAATCTTTTCGACTTTGGAATTGTAAAAGTAAGTCATAAAATAAAAATTAATAAAAGAACCATCTGATTTATTATACTCGTTGTCTGTCGAGGATTAAAACCGACTATATAGTATTTACACCAGGAATCTAGTATTGTATACTCCATCAGTCCAAACTTTGTAGGAACTATCCGTAATAACGAACTTGCAAAATGGTTATGTTCATCATACGAAGATTCGTCGTTCTTGACCCTTTTATAAGTAAAAGTTCTAACTTTATCCAAGTGGGATAGCTTTTGAAAAATCAAAACATTGAAGAGATAAATGGAGAGGTAGGAATTTCTCAAACGAACCACATTCCTTCGTATACATGAGAGCAATTTGGGTACAACTTTTTATCATTGTCCCTTGCCCCCTAGAGCTAGGGAGCTAAAAGCAAATTCCTTTTTAGCTTATGATTTAGTCTTGACCAAGGCTAGCGGTAACAAATTACTTTCAGCTTTTGTTACGAATAAGATCTTGTTCCTACATTAAAACATGTAAAGCTAACTAATCTGGCTAATATTGAGCTCGGAAAATGAAATTGTTGAATAATTAAAAATTAGATTATGAGAAACACTACTTGTACATTCTTATTTACCACTTGATTTACATATAATATACAAGTGGCAAGATTTCACCGGTATTTATTTGTCCAACATGGTGTGTAAACTCTTGCTAGTTGCACCACACATACAGGAAATGTTAATAGATTTTCATGGCAGCTGCCAATCACAAGGGTACAAGTGTCCCCTATTGAAAATATGTTAACACTTCCTATACTCGTAACTTTTTTCAAACTCTTGCACTTGTACATCATGTAAACCAAGTAGTAAACAAGAATGTACAAGTATCATTTTTTCATAGAGAGAATATTGAGGAATACACATTGAATGCTAAAATCTAGTTGTAGAAATGTAAGGAATTTAAAAATGTATGAAACACTACAAGACATGTGACAACCACTAATTCCTATTGTTAAACTCGAAATTAATGCCAATGAAATTCAATCTATCTTGTAAAACCTAAAATTTATTTCAAATCTCACTTCAAGTAATTAATTTTTTGCAATATATTCTTATGAAAATTAGAATGTTTCGTACTATCAAAAGTTGGGCTCGCTGCAGGGCGGTACTCCGGCATTAATCTCCCAGATTTGAATCGCACGCCACAAGCATTACACAGCGTCTTTGGCCCCAATGGACCCATCCTCCACTGTGGTGTCTTCTCAGCTTGGCAATGAGTGCACCTCAGTTTCGTATCTTTCGATGAATTCCGTGAATGGCTTTGTGGTCCGTTGCTCCCACATCTCTTGTTCATTAGAGATGTAACTTTATACCCATCTTCAATTGCCGGTTTCTCGCCGGTCTGTTCAAAAAATTCGTACAAAATCCCTTTCCCTTTCCGTTTCCCTTTATCTTCAGATTCTTGCTTCTGAGAGCCATGAAAATGGAGTTTTTCTGGATTACGGTTTCCTCGGAAGCCCAGAAAATCATTCAAAAACAAAGGTACGTTCATGTTTTCACAAGCATCCAATGAAAGGGTATTGGAGTGTTTCTTGGATGAAAATTGACCTGAACAGGAGGATTTATGTTTTGGTGACTGAAATAATCCACTTAATGAAATTAAATCATCTCCAAAGGGTGGGAAAAAATCCACATCTTCAAGTCTATCTTGTGGTATACATAATGGATTCTTTAATTCAGAAGGAATTTCGTCTTGGTCAATGTCCAAGTCTTCCCACGTTGAGTCTGAGAGAGAGGGAAATTCTTGTCGATTTTCTGCAGGCATAGGTAGAGAGAAATTTGTTGTTCATTGATATACAGGAGCACAATTTCCTCCTGCATCCACGGACAACAATTGGTCAAAGCTTGAAATGGGAAAGGTGGAAGACTGAACGTTCTCAGATTAGCAGAGGGTATTAACAGCATGTTTGGTTAAAGCTTAAAGAGTTTGTTTATAACTAAATTAGTAAATTTATTTGAAAACAAGTTACTTTTTATTTTAACAGAAAGGTAAGGGTTACTTTTAAATAAAATGTTTTTTTTTTTTTTTTTTTTTTTTTTCCCTTATTGGTTAGGAGAGATGTATATGACAAAACAGAAACCTAGGACTCTTCGGAAACGTCAAGGTTAATTTCTCGAACCAATAAGAATTCTACACGTAACAGAATGTTGTGTTTGTGCCAATAATATAAAAAGTTGTGAATTTATTGGATTTGGACGAGTTTAGGAAATGAATGCAATTAATTAAGTAGAAGACCTGTACATTTGTTAGAATACATGCGACTGTACGGCTACCCGTCTAGAAAATCAAAAAATTAAAATTAAAACAAAATTATCTTTTGCAATATTTAAAACTTATTCACTTATTCGAAAGAGTGTCAATTCTTATCTTTTTAAATTTTAATCGGGAAATGCAGTGGTAATGTCTATTAGACGAGATAAACAACACAAAGTGATGGCTAAATCATTGATTCACAAGAATATCATTCGAAATAGGATTAAATGAAAATCGAAACAATTCGAAAAGTCCTTATCGATAAATTTATATATATTTATCCTTACCTATGAATACAGTAGAATTTAACACCAGATACATTGATGATTTCGATTAAATAATATTTTCGGCCAATGTTGACTTCGCTAAATCATTATTAAAAATTCATATAAATCTCATGTAATATATAAATTAATAATTTTCTGATAAGTTCTTATTATTTGACTATGAGGCCTTTAAGAATAATTTAATATATTTTTCTTTCTTCTTGAAACTTATGTCAAAATGAACTTCATATGTAATTATTATTATTATAGTAAGAATTTATAGTGTGGTCCTTGAGTGTTACCTGTGTTATCTTAGTTAAACTTGCAAAATATTTTTCATATTATCCGTCAGTGTTGAACTGCTTATATTTTTAAAAATGAGAAGTCATTTTCATATGTATGATTTATTGTGCTACTATGGCTTTTGATTGTTTAAATTAAATAGAGTTTTTTGTATGTTCATGAAAAGGAATAGCACAGTACATTGAACAATTTACAATTTATTTCTTGGGAAAAAAAAAAAAAGTAGATTCATGAATCTTACTTATTTAAAAAAAAAATACATAAAATTATTAGTTCGTTAAACGAAAAATAAATACAATGTATAGTATTGAAGAATATACGGTAAACTTTGATAAATGTATTGATTATTTAAATTAAGACTTTCCTTAATCTCAACCACACGGGATAATTCAAATAGAAGTCTATCGATATAGTGCTCCATTATACAAGATTTTAGAGCAATAATTGGACTTCCACAATTTAATTAACATGAGTAATCAATATATGATATTAATAAGAACATAAAACGATATAATGAAACTAGATCGTTCTTTAAAAATAAAAAAAAATAAAAAAAATCCATTTGTTGTAGGAATCAACTTTACATTGTCCCACATTGATTAGGAATCGAATTTTATGGTCTTGTAAAAAATAGGATTTGATTCATTTCCCAGGTAGAAGATGTTTACTTCATTCTCAATGTTTTGATCGTAACAAACAAGATTGATATTGTTTCTAATAATTTATTTTGAGTGATGATAGTTCAATGTTAAAAGCTCTCAAGCAACATATATTGGACTTGAAATGAGATCAAATTGAAAGTTGGTTATGCATTCAAGTCAAATCATTTAAGACGAGAGCTTAAAAGATAAATGCCAAGAACAGTCAAGCATTGAAGATCAATGACAAGAAAAATAAAGATCAAAAGTTCAAGAGTCAAACATGAAAGAAACATCGGAGGAAGATTTAAGAATTGATTTCTTAAGCAAAATGTAAAGGTATTAACATTTTGATATTTGACAATGAATGGTTAAACTCAAAATCCTTATATGCATTAAAAACAAATTTTTGCATTAAAAGTCATTCCAATGCAATATTTTGATCAAATATAAAAACGACTTTTAAAAGTGATATTTAGACTTTAAAAAATATTTTTATCATGAAAAATTAGTTAAAAATATTTTCCAAAGGTCCACGCGCTTCAAAAATTTCAAATCGGAACAAATGGTGTCAAAACGTAAAAATACCGCGCTGTCAAGGCGGTCAACAGCCCAAAGAGGCGGTTGATCGGACACCCTCTAATGGTTCAAAATTTGACCGTTTTGACTTCTGATTTTTGCTGTATAAACAGCTATATTGATCTTCCGAACAAGAGGCAGTCGACCGGACTAGTCTTCTGTCAGTAAAGATTTTTTTCTCGTTTTTGAACTCTACAAATATCCTCACTATTTCCATTCTTAAAGAGATTTCTAAGTGAATCAAAGTGGGAAATTTTGTTTTAAGAATTATTTGAGCCTTCGTTTGCATTCATTCATTTGTTTCCTCATATCAAAAGTTTTGATTGATTTAAACTCATTAATCATCATTCTCATCAAAGTTTTTCATATCTCTTTGTGCTCAACTTATTTATATCAATTTTCAAAGAGAGATATATTCTTGAAGAAGTTCTTTACACTTATATTGCATAAACTTTTTAACTTCTTCATATTGAAAACTTTGATTGATTGAATCAAATTTGTAAAATTATTATATTCATCAAAGTTTCTCCTTTCTCTCGTAGTACTTGATTTATTATAATCATTCATTAAAAGAGAGATATTTCTTGAGAAGATTATTTGAATTTATATTGCATTTAATTCTTCTTCATCTTCTCATTAAAATACTTTGATTGATTGAACTTAATTTTTTTCATCAAAATTTTTCATCTAACACTTGAGCTATCATTTGTTAGTATTCATTGAAGTGTTAGCCTCTTTTAGTACTTAATTTGTTTTGTATTATTTATCAAGAGAGGATTTGATTGTAAAATCATTTTGATAAAGTGTGGGTCGCGTTGAAATCTCGGAAAGCTCAACATTGCCTTTGTTTGAGCCCCATTTTAGAGGAGAAAATGAATTTTTGAATAGTGTATTGATGGGAAATGGTTAAAAAATAAGAAAAAGTTTTTGATTTGTATATAATATTATTTTATTGAAGAATTTGTGGTTGAAATAGTATCAAATCACTGTTGAAAAATGTATTTTGGTGAAAAAATGGGGCTCAAACAAGGGCATTATGTAAGGATTTGTGCTCCTTATTGTAAGTTATCGTATTGGTCATATTGAGGTCCCTTAAAACTCAATAGTGTGGATCGTGTTGAGATCCCAAAAAGCTCAACGCTGTAAAGGATTGGTGCTCCTTGTTTGTAAGTCACCAAAAGCTTTATAGAATGTTGGATTGTATCATAAGTCAATCAATATAATGAAAAATGCCTTGCTCGTGCTGAAGAGCTTGGTAATGGGGGATGTAGAACATTGCATTGGATCGACCCTCCACAACATATCGTTTGGCTTCTATTCCCTTTTACTTATAATTTTTACATTTGTTTATTATTCAAATCATTATATTGTTCTTTGCTTGTTATCGTGTTTGTGGCTATTTGATTAATTGATTTATTTACTTTTGTATTGGTTTAAATCTAGAATTAATTTTCGAAAATTTTTATATAACCAATTCATCCCCCTCTTGGTTAGCTATCCTTGGATTTTCAAAAGATGATTTATGCAGTCCTATGTATAATGTAGACTGTAGTACGAGAATTGGCTATTGTTTCCCACTAGGAATTGATTAGTTCATCCTTTTAGTTGGGTCACGGTATTAATAATTTTGGGGAGTGCAAGGGGGTTTTGGGCATGTGCGAGACAATTGAGAATGTTTGAAAAAAAA